AACTTCAGAGGAGGAGGACGTGAGAGGACAGTGTTCCAGACTTCGCTACTGTCACCAAGTGTCAGGACTAGGGTCCCGTTTGTAATCTGGAACCTGGCTATTTCTATTCGGTTGGGGCCAAGTACCTAAGTGCTGGTTGAAGCCGGACTTAGGCGGATCCGGTTGGAGCCAGATCCTGTTCCTTAGTGGTTAAAGCCGGAAGGAACGATCAGAAATAGCAAGGACGAGATCGGAGAGTGGGCGTGCGACGATTGGAGCCCGAGCAACCCCTTTCGATTTCATTGTGTTAGCCGTGATTTCAATAAATCACGAGAGAAGGTGCGAGCGCTGCTGTATCGATGGTGAGCTAGTTTTTGTTCATATTTTCTCAGAACTTCATTGTGTTTTTGCGAACTGAAGCTTGGTTGTGCTGAGGATATTAGATCATTGTTTGACTATTAATATCTCTGATATCTTCTTGCATTTGGAACTGTATGTTAAGTAGCAAAATTAGAATAAATATGATCTATGTGAAGCCTGGTTCGCTTAGGAATCCTTGCCCAAGGTAATTGATTCCGTATCGACCACTACGAACCTTTCCAAAGGGAGCAAATTCTCTAACTCAGTAACGATAAGGCAGTTTGCCAGTAAGATCATAAATACCTCGTGTAATTTAGTCTTACCGGCCACGCCAGAGTACTGATCGTTACACAAACTACTTTCTTTCTTTTCTCTTCCGTTACTGCCAAAGTTTATTTTTGTCCGCATTTGAATCCTTGATTTCATGACCAATGCGTTTCATTTACGACTACTCTATCACCATTCCACGGTCCCCACACGAATTCAGGAAGGTAAATTTTAACACTAACTTTCGATTCTTCAGGAGGTTGCATCGCAAGCATAAGTCCACAAGTCTATAAGATGCTTCCTCAGCCACGGTCGTTGTTTATTCAAGACCATTCCCTTTTATAACTTCGCCAAAGAAACGGTGAAGGTGACTTGCCGAAAGTGTTGGATTAGGGGGGTTGAGAATGCAAAGATAAATGGATTTTTTGTGTCGGCATTCAAGGATAATGCCCCAAAGGGACATCCTTTTCCGCCGACCTAACACTCTATGCCAAAATTCGACTTAGGCATTCCCGGAATCATCCAAAGTTGGAGAGATATTTCTCATCGTCCCAGTTGACATTAGCTGAAAGTTCGGCATTCCAGAGGCTTCCCATTTCAAACATGGAGGGAGAACTGAAAAGTTATGTCATAAGACAGGGGTGGATGTGGCGAAAAAATACGTTCGGATGGGAGAGAGGACTGCCCAGATTTACTTTAACTATGATGGGTCCCATTCGAGTCTACTAGCCAAGTCTCATTTACTGTCCCCTCCAACAAACTGTTACCTCTCTTGTAGCATCGAAGTAATTGAACCAGAGAAAAATTATGATGGCATCGAGAATACACCTTGTTGACTTCAGCTCGAGAGATGTTTTGGAACGTGAAGGCAAGTGTTGGCATAAAGCTGTCGTTAATACGACCCTTCTGGACACTTACAGTACATCTTACCGCTTAACTAAGATACCCTGAAAATGTAATTATCCAGCGCGTTTCAGTGTCCATTAAGTGACTTTTTTACATGTTAGTGCCGCGCTAATGGGTGTATGAAGGACAGTCAGTTGACTTTTCCAATTTAGTCACAGTTTCAGTCAAATGGAGACGAACTGAAATTGAAACCAAAACTGGGTGACATGGAACCACTGAGAGTCCAGTGAATGCAAATAATAATAGGTCTCCCATTCAATATCATCTTTATACGATTCCTTTTAATATTCTACAAAATATGTACAAGTGAGCTAATATGTAACTGTGCACATAAGAATTTCATCCTCATGCACCATTTCAAAAGGAGAGAGCTTTGACAAGTTCACCATTCTCAATAAGATACCAATGAAACAAGAAAAAAACCTAAGAAACACAAATTTACACTTGAAAGAAATAATCACTGGTATGTTGATTGCGGAAGGTGAGAAACACCTGGATCATTGGAGCTTCCAACGTGAAAGACAATGCTAGACACAAGAAGATAAGAGCCTGCATTTTGGCACCACGTGGAAGGAGAATCCCTAGTAAGGTACAGAATAAACTGGAACAGAGGCAAGAGAATTCATCGATCCACGACTGATGCTCATAAACTCCACATGTTGACGGACTGTCTGGCAATCACATGAAAATCGGCCGACGACGGACAGAATAGAAAATAATCACATTCAAATCATCATCATCAACTTCTTCATCGTTGCCCACCAATCTAGTCAGTCGTACAGGATCGCCTTTGTAACGTATCTTTCATGGCCTAGGAAAGCACTACATGTCACATCAGCTGGTAAGGCAAAAACTGCGGACAGTTCAACATCCTAGACCTAGAAAAGTCTAGACAAATGTACCTAAGACCTGTATTCTGTATTACATTACCCCAGAGCCTTAGTGGGGTACTAGTGAAGTGCAGAACACCAGCCTCGTCAACAGTTCGCTTTCTCTTGAGCACTCCCATAGGATGACCTCCAAAAATTTGTGAATCCCCATGAAATCCCCACTAACTAATCAATAGAATAAGCGTACTGAGACAACATTGAAAGAGCAGTCTCCTCGTTAACTTCCAGCTGTATTGAGATATTGCTTGACCGAAGCTCTGGATGCAGAAGACTCTACGAGGAGAGAGGTCGAGGAAAAGAATGAGAGCAGAGGAAAGAGAAAGATGACGATATCATCTAAGCATCACCAGAGTCACACGGGAGTCTCTCCTGGTTCTCCCGCTCCTGGACTGTTTCTCTTGCTGGGTGGATCCACCTAGAACCAACAGTTCGAACTCTCTTTGCTACTGATTCGTTCAAGTGCCTGATGTTGAACGGGAAGAAGTGAAATACTGTAGCTCCATGTACTCACGGTAATCGTGATGCCAACGTCTTCCTCTTCTTCCTCGGGGACATGCGAGAGCCTCTTCTTTTCATCAATGTTCCCCATTTCAAAAGCTGTCCTGCTTCTGAAAGAAATACAAGTGTTTCATCGTGGGGAAGATGGTGATGACGTTGGGAGACAAGGCAGACTGCTCATCTTGGACTCACTTGCTTGACTTCTCGCATTCTTTGTCTTTCTCCTTGTCCTTATTGGACAAGAGGTCACTGCTGCTCACTTGCTTCCAGACTCCACTTTTGTTCATCTCTTCAGAGATGTTGATAGCATCAGCTGGGATTTTAATCACATTTCCATTTGGGAGGGGAAGGGTCAAACTCCCTGACGGACCCATTCGCAAGTTACCGATACCTGCACTTCGACAGTCATGATTCTCATCTTCATCATTGCTCCCCTTACAAAAAACATAGCTCAAGTTAAACACATATTCCAGCTGCAGAACATCAAGGAAAGAACTTAGAATAAGTTACTTCTTTATCATAGAGCGAACAATAATGCTGAACCTATTCTCCTTCATATGTTTGCTTTTAACAATGAAATATGACGTCATGCGCCTCCTGAGTGTCTTCAAAGGTATATAGATATTGATCAGAATCCTCAATAGTCTCGCATGACCGAATGGCGAACTTGTTTTCTTTGCTAAGTGTCAAAACTCATCTCAATGCATTAAAGTGCCAGAGTTCAATCCCGAACAGTACGAAAAACTCAATTACTCCATTATCTAAGTCAGTATCCTCTGCATCCAGAAGGATCCAGGAATGCAGAAGGGTTGGATGGGGGGGGGGGGGGGGGGGGTTGGAGGGAAAGCACCAGATGTTAAAAAAGGCATTTGTTCGTTCATTCGGAGAACTTCAGAGAGGACTGCTTTGAGATATAGTGCATGTATACCAGAAGATTGACACGGGTCAGTGCATTATACGGACATATAGCCCCTGTTTATGCAGCAGCTATGGATCTCATAAGTGCACCAAACTCAACTGCATCGCGCGGGGGCCACTGTTTCTGGTTAAAAAGCAACTTTATTTGGGCACATCAATGAAACGTGATTTGACTTTCTCATCATACTGCATTTTGGTTTAGTCTATAACCAGTGGTTTCATGCCTGATACTCACTCACACCCCTTATCTTACATTCATATTTGCATAACACCTCGAAAAGTAAGCATTTCTATCCTTGCGACGGTGCCTCTACTTCAAGGACAGAATTCTTCCAAAAGGAGCCAGGCATGAACTCTAAGACTGCAGACACTGAAGACGGCGTCCGGTCTTTGAGGAAAGAACTTCACTATTTCCATCTGCGGCAGAAGTTGAAGAATCAGATTTTGAGGAAGTCCTTGATCGAGCAATGCTGTGTAATTAGTATTCCCATTGAAAAGGAACTCTTCAGATGCAGCAATAAACAGGCCCCATGAGAAACGTCAGAATCATACATTATTGGTCTCTGGTCCCAATAATATAACGAATTATTCTTGCGTCCACACGTATTTCGAACTAGTGCTGTTCCATTTTATCATTAACACGGTGATAGAGAGAAAAAAGGGGTCTTGACATCATATTTCAATTTTTCCTTCAAAAACATACGAACCTGACTGGGTTTTTCAATAATAATTTGCTAAATAAAGTCATGCCATCAATCTGAACGTATGGTATTTTGAGGCAGAATGTGCATTGGAATCATCCTTGAAAACAAGAAAATGAAATCCAAGAGAGGGAAATCACCTGGGAAGCGAGAGATTCTCTCTTCTGTCGTTCTTCCTCCTTCTTGCGACGCGTGATCTCAGGTAAGATGTCATCAAGAACCTTCAATTCCCGAGGCTCAAAGACAAAATCCAACAGCTTCCGAATACCGATCATGACTACCAGCTGCACATTAAACAGAGGCAAATGTGACCATTTCGAATGAATGGAAAGTTTTCCACCATAGAAATTTCATTTGGAATGATCTACCATAAATGGAAAGAGGATGGATGTGTCCTTGAAGGATTTGATGACCCAAAGAAGGATGAAACAGAGGAGTTGCACAATTGTAAATAAATGGACTCTCTTCAAAGGGACCTGACAGGAAAATAAAGAACTCTGAAAAGTTTGTTGCAATGGAGAGACAGTGAGGAGATGGGACAAGAGGGCTAACTTGTCGAAGGAACGTCAAGTCTGGCTGGTACTTGGCCGGCATGAACATGATTAGGATCCGATCGAAGAACTGGAGGCCCTTTAGAGATGATACTCCCATGTACAGGAATACTCCGTAAAGGACTGGCATTGGGATGTGCTGCAGAGAGAATCAACCGCATGAAACACCTGGTTGTTTTCAAGTTGGGCATCTCTTTAGGCATTGAATAGTGGAAGGGGGATGCATGACACCACATAAGACATATTTGCCATTATTTAAGAGTCACACTTGCACACCTTGAGAACTGGAGTGAGGGCAACAGATAAACCCATCATGACGAAGATGAGAAGGTGAGTGACTCGCTGCTCCCTGTAAAAATGTTCAAACACCCGTATCAATATCATGCATATTATTTCCGACAAAGATAGGAATCATAATTCCAGTAACAACGAAGAACGTGAATCTTTAACTGAAAATAATAATAATAAGTCATTCAGAGCATAACAGAGGAGAATCGACTGTGAAGTACTAAATTATTTGTAAATAAGATCCATTAAAATAAGATGCATAAGGTATTCCAATTCTGGAAGTCATACATGTGTGTAAATAGACTATCATCTTCTCCAATCAACAAATCAACCTCAGAGTCACTGTCTGCAAATAAATCATTGAGCATGTCTTCCACTGCGCACTTCTTAGCTGTTTCCATTCTTGGTCTGGACATTTTCCTAAATGTAAGTGATCTATACAAATATACATAAAATAATATTTCTTGGAATAATTATGACAATTGCCTATGCAGTTGTAGCGAGACACGAACAAAAAATAGCTTTTCACCAGGGCTTTCCCATTGCGCAACGATCTTTATTTTTAGTTTTGGCTAACAGGTAACACGAGAAGGAGAGGTAAACAAAGCAATCATTTATGATTGAAAACTCCAACAAAATTTAGCAGAGTGCTGCTAGGGGTTCCCTCAACATAGTAGTAGACTATGATTTTGCCACCATCTCTGCGAAAATGAAGTACGTACTGCCAAACGAGAGCGCACCGAATAGCGTGAACGGCAAGGAAAGGCAGTCGCGCCGAACACGCCATATGGCGTGAACGGCAGTGGAGGTTCGCTGCGCCGAACACGCCATTTGGCGTGAACGGCAGTCAAAGAGTTAAGATACCCTCTTGAAATATCGAAAAGTATTCAACTGAAAATTTATTCAGGATGCCCCATGAAGACTGAGGGACATGTTGGGGAGATCTCTGGGATGTCTCCGTGTTTTCACGGACCCATCCGCAATCCATGCGCAGAGGAAATTGATTCTAAGTGCATAACCTTGACAGGAGATGTCTCTCACGTGCCCTGATTTCCAACCTCAGAGCTTTTATACTACTTCTATCTCTCATACTTGCCTTCGTATAGGTCGACCCTCGCATTGATCGACTCCGGTTTTTAAGACCCCTTAAAAAAAAAGTACTCATAAAATTCGAAGAGGAAGAAGACTAAGCGCATGCACATTAATACGTTTATTCGTCGTTAGAAAAGAGAGAAACATCGCTGCCCTCCATATCGCTTTCGATATTATAAATATCGTCATCCGAACTGTCCAGCGCACGCTCGATATGTAGTACTTCTGGAAAGCCTTCACCGCTATCACGTTCGGCAGCACAGTTCTTGTTTGCCTCGAGGAATAGAATAACTTCATGCTTGAAGGCAGTAGTGAAAGCTCGGATCGGATGCCATACACCAGGATACATCCCTTCTTATAGTCATTCTCAAAAAGAGGTTTTCAACGTTCGACAGACTTTCATCAAGTTTTTGCAACTCAAGCAAAACTTGCGACAGCATCAGTTAGGACTAAAGGAATGACGCCTGCTGCTTTTCACAGTTGAAAATTCGGGAATTAGGCCCTCCTTATAGGTCAGGCTACGCATATCGGTCGACCGTGATTTGAATTTTTGAGATAACTGATTTTATAAAAGAAAAAGGTCGACCTATAAGCGTGCAATTATGGTACTTGATTTGTACAGAGGAGAAGTAATGATTTTCGTAACGTGTATCAGGAAAATTTCACAGGAAATTGAAATAATTGAGACCCTCATTTTAATTTATTCCGTTATATTCTCAGATGCCTGATCGGAATGGCTGAGTACAACTATCCTGGTTGAAGATTCGAGCCAACGCTTTATTTTAGAAAATAAGTTCTACACATTATTTCATGAAATTTAAGAACTTCTCGTGAAGACGTGCTCAGTTCTATTCCATGATGATGGGTCTCCTATCTTAGGGTTTTTCAAGAAAAAGGAGTTCCCCTCACAAACATAAATCTCCGTTAGCGCTGGGAATTACTAGAAGATCAAGTTTATCTAAACTCCAGAACATGAAGCGATGCCTTGCACGATAGGAAATAAATTCGTTTCAGAAAGAAAGGGACATCCCTGGGATGCCCCTGCGCCCCGACGTATTGATGTTCTTGAAATGTCCCCACAAGTAAAATCTGTGACTTCTCACATGTTCCCAGGGAATATCTCGGATATCTGTGGAATTTACTCGTGTTGCAAGAAAGGGACATCCTTGGAATTTCTTTCAGCCCAGAAATGTTGATATCCCTAAGATGTGCTAAGTCCTTGAGGAGGCTTTGAGATGTCCTTGCGCTGGTGAGATGTAAACTATGAACGCTCTGGAGAGATAAGGTCTAGCATAATTATCTCATATCCCCCTCAAAGGTAAGTTAAATTGAGGGCGAAGTGCTGTTTCAAGCCCCTTTTACACCTATCCTTGCCTGTAGTGACTAATAGCTGTTCCCCAATCTAAAAGACTCCCTCAAATGAAATCATTATGACACCTATTTCGCCTTAGAGTCGGTCAATTTCCAGTAATATAAAATATAAATATGCCGAGGGCTATCAGAATAGCATAGAGACACTTCAGTTGCAAAAGCCCAAAGTTCAAGATTATGCGAAGAATTAGTGACCGATTTTCCTCGATATTTGCACATTTTGGACTTTTCAATATAACATGATCATTATTTTTTTAAATTGTACCCAATACTAGAGTAGTACAGTGAAGGATCATAGAATGGAGTGAGTTGACCCCAAGATAAATCCAAAAGCAAAAAAAAGATTCAGTAACCGCAAAAACTATGGTTTCCATTGTTTTTTTTTCACGATTACTTTTATTATTCTTTCTAAAGTATTTTGAGTTGAAATTGACACATTTGATATTATATGAAATAGTTTACTAATTAACAATTATAATCGACAACTACGCCTTCAACTATGTTTGCATGCTCAAAAGACGCCTATTTTTGAGGGACTGAAAATTTCACTTTAGAATTTTCGGCAACAATTCCGTTGCTTCAAGTCTTGTCAGTAGATGGCCAGCAATCCTCTTATTTCTTCTGAACAATATTCCCACATATTCCTGTATTTTTCCCTCCGATCCCAAATTTTGCTGACAACAGAGTATGATGAATCCACTTCATTTTCAAGTTGCAGAGCTACAGTAAAGGAATTTAATGCTCTAGATTTACAATTAAAAAAACTATAAAAGGTTTTGTAACATTTTTAGCTAATATCAATCAAAATTAATGCCTTGACCACTGACATATACAGCAAAAGTATAAACGCAAGACCAGTACCTGGGGGCAAACTGAATATCAAACTGAACGAGTCATGAGCCTGTCAGGATCAACCCGGAGGTGGCCTGACAAGGAGTACACTCTGGACTATGAGAGTGAGGACATTCTTTGTGATAAAAACCACCGAAACCCATTACCGCGAGGGGAGTGTGCGAGGTGCCAAAAATTGCCAAGTGCAGAAACAAGAAATGAACACTATGCACCACAAGCTATAAAATGTAAATAAGTAAAACATATTGCATAATGTATAGGTTAAGAACTTGCAAACAATTATCTATAAATAGGTAATTGCATACAAGTTCTTAATCTCTTATTTCTGAATGAAACACCTACAAGGCATGTCTGAAAAGTCCTCGCAAACATTCTTTAAAATTCCACTGGGGAGAATTGTACAAGGTAAACATTTTACGAGGATGTAGTGTGATGCATCATCCATGTACACGTACAATCACTTTTCCAAGAATGCACCAGTTGTAGTCACACACTTGTGGCACCAGTCAAGAAGTTCGTGAATTCCATCACGATCGAATGAATCCTCCTGTTCGTAAAGCCACATTCCAACAGCGGCTGCTGAGAGGCATTACCCAGATAGTGCTCCTGGGTTATTGCTTTTTGAAAATTCCCAAAGAGGTAATAGTCGCAAGGTGCCAAGTCCAGACTGTACGGCAGGTTTGGGCGTTGTGTTCAACCCAGGCGCCACAATCTTCAATGGTTTTCTCATCTGCGTGAGGCCGCGCGCTGTCGTGCTGCAACGGGACGTTGTTTCATTGCGGCCGTTTCCTTTCTGATGGCTCTTCGATGTTTTATTTGTGGTGAGCAATAAGAGTCCACATTTACGGAGAGTTTTCGCTAAAGCAAGTCCTTCAGGAAGACATCAATGAGGCCCCAAAACACAGTTGCCACCAATTTATGACTTTTGAAACGCCTATACCTGCTATACACAGTCCTTCGTGGAGTTCAGTCATCGAAAAACTCTGTATTCATTCGTCGGTAGATGTTAGTGGGAGTTTCACCTTATTTCAGCAAAAATTTTACAACAAATTTCTGCTCAATTACAACTTTGTATATAGCCACCATGTTTCCTGATACAGCAACGCCATCTATCGTCCGTTTGAAATAAAAATGCTAAGTCGTTCACAATCATAGTCCATTTTACCTTGCATCATAGTTTGCGCTGCGTACGATTCTTTGTGTAGGAATAAAAAAAATTGTTTGTGAAGACTTTTCGGACATGCCTTGTAATTTTAAAAAGTGGATTCATCTCACTCCACACAACTACTTTTCCAGGTCACCACTCAATCCTTTAAATGATAAATTGGAATACATTTTACTAAAATTGTTAATGCTACCCAACTTTTGAACAGATACGGAATACAGTCGTGGTGAAAATAAATAAATAAAATGAAAAAAGGTTAATATTGATCCAGAAACTCTCCGTCAAAGTTGTAAAGAGGAGTCAACGCACCCCACGCTACGGTAGAATCCTATTTCAGTGGTCTAGACGGCAAATACTGTAGTAGGGAGGAATGGAACTCACCGAACTCCAAGAAACTGCGGCTTCTCGCCAGGGGCAGCACATTCTGACTCCAATTTCAAGGAATTGACATGATTGATGGAGAGGACCGTAGCAGCCACAAACCAAGGAATACCCATAAGGCTGCAGATGAGGATGAGACAAGTTAGGACAAACAAGTCCAAGTGGTAGCCGCACCCTTTCTGCAGAGACCAAACAAAGCAAGAAAACACAGTATGATATAAACGGCATGAAGATGACCTTTAGGGTGATTCGACTGTGGGGCAAACCTTCAGCTTGTGTTCTTTGCGATTGACGATCACAGCTGTGATTTGTTGGTCCATGAAGATAAGGATGGTAGCGAGGGCAGCGGGAATAGGGGCAGCAATGGCCGTCCACCATGGATTGTTTCCAAATGGAGGAATGATCCATCCACGTCCTTTCCAGGTTGGCTTGAATTCCTGGGGGACAATGAGCTTTGGCGTGTTGATCCCGACAAGGAAATCCGTGATCGTCATGGAGAAAATGGCGAGGATCACGGCAAAGTCGCTCACTACTACACGCACCTGTCAACAACCAAAACATCCATGATTTTATGAATTCTGTGATTCTCTTTCTTTCTGCGGTGGGTTTACACGTGGTAGTGCGCTCTCATGAAAGTTACACCCAGGGAAGGTCGTTCCAAAAGACGACAATCATCTGCCAAAGAAAAAGTCTCCTCTATACCTTGGAAGTGCTCAAGTAGACAATAGTCGTCAATAAGGACAATCTTGCAAGTGATAAAATTCCATGGAGTTTACTATCATGGTAAACCCACCGTTACATCCTATATTCCTCCATCACTGTAGGAGGGATTTACGTTTGTTGGGAAGTATGGGGATGTGCGGCTGTTCTTGAGGAAGACGGAAATAGCAAACGTCCCAAGGAACAACAGAAGAGACATCAAAAATACATCTGGGTAGTACTGAGGGGTGTCACATCCGGAGCCAGCCAGCGTCCCATTGTAAACCTGCAAGATGAATTGGATGAGCTAACTCGTATAGTAGGGAGAAGCCAGATGACTGACTATTGTACTGACCTTAACGCAGTCCTTTTTTGAGAGAGAAGTCCAATTCACCGTTTCAGTATCCACCATACTGATGTTGCTTGGTTCACACCAACATGAATAATCCAGTGGCATATTTGGATTCATGTTGATGGGATAGTCTATCCCGATCATCATCACCTTCTCCACAGCCTGCGAAGAAAACAACATCATGACACAGAGTGTTGTGGGCTGTTCGCTTACCTGAAAGATAGGCATACTTTGTATATGAAGATGAAAGCTATGAGACAGGCGAAATTCTCTTCGGTGAAACGTGTTATGAGACAAACGATGTATGAGAGGTCGACGGCCACCATGATGAACAAGAATATTGCCACCCAAACTCCGATCCATAAACGAAATGACAGATACTCCAGCGCATTGCTTCTGCAGATCGATAGAAACATAGAAGTACCAACATGCACTCTCTTATTTTCATAAGGGCTGATTGAGAAGGAATCCTCTCTGCGACTCACTTGCAAAAGTCGTAAAGAATAGTTTCAAAAACGAGGACAGGTCCTGTACTGCCAAGGATGGTGAGGGGTTGACCAGAGAACAGTGCATAACAGACTCCATTGACAAATCCAGAGACGAGAGATTCCATGGCGGCCATGCGATTCTCAGTTGCGTCTCCCATGAGCCCGCCAAAAGTGATTATTGGCGAAAGGCAAGCAAAATACAAGAAAATCCAAGAAGCAATGCATTGGATGGACAGTGAGTCCCGGAAGTCGGAGAAGTACCTGCAAAATACGAAAGACGTCAGCAGAGTTCAGAAGGAAAAGAGAGCACGACAAAGTAAAAAAAAGAATGACAGAGGAAGACTTCATTTATAAAAGGTATTGCAGAATAGACTGACCAGGGAAGTTTTCGTTTCAGGTCATTCCTGAGTCCGCCAAACAGACGACCAGACCGAACAAGTCCATTCTCTTCTCGAATCTTTTGCTCCTCCTCCTCTTCGTGAACTTCTTCCTTCGGCTGCTCAGGATGCTTTCGTGGTTCCTATGAAGTGAAATTGGAAACGGAAACAGCTCAGACCTCGTCCCCATCCCTAGAGCCATGTCCCGCCTCGAGGAAGAGATGGAAGAGAACCTGAGAAGGGATTTTCCCGGGGGGCTCTATCCGAATGCTGGGATCCCATTCACCGGGAGGCAGGACGGTCACTGCATCTAGGAATTCGTCCACTCCAGCTAATAGATGACTCCGATGCTTTGCCTTGTAGGCGATCTCATGGAATACTTCGTCTGACATCAATGTTGCAATTGCACGTCCTATCTCGTGAAAGCGACCCAGATTCCCCTGAAGAGGAGAATCTCGAATAGATTAGAATGCTTTGCAGATGGAATGGGATGAATTAAAAGACAATATGCCGATTCACTCACAGCGGGGCCAAGGATGATGAAAAGGAAGCGAGTTGGAAGAGGAACTTCAGTCAAGTTCCCCAAATGAGTGGCAGCATTGAGACGAATGAAAGCAGTGATTGGACGATCCAGAAAATCGACTTCCCCGACGAGTATATTGGATGCTTCTGCACCGGGAGGGATCTTCCTCATGAAATTCAGGTTGCTCTAAAATTTTAGCAAAATATGGACTCATCTCTGGAGTTTCATTCTGTGGCTTTATGAAGATGGAACAAAATAAGAAAAAAAAATCCTGAAACGTAGCCTTACATGACTGGGTCGGACGCCAGCTTCAGATTCACCTAGAGAAGTCGCCTGAAGTGAAGCGTGGGTAGCACTGTGATCCAGGATGTGAGAATCCTGTATGCTCGCAGAAGCTACAGCATAACAACAAAGCCCCCAATCGATCAACACTTGTCCAAAGGAATATTAAATTATTTTCGACAAAGACAACAAATTGAAAAGAAGAAATTAGTGGTGCTGCTGTTGGCACAAACCGTGAACAGAATACAACAGCAAACGTCCATGTGACTGTTCATTCCGTTTATGTAAAAAGAAAACAGCAGAAATGAACTCTGTTGCAGAAGAAATCCTCAGGAGTAAGCTCGAAAAATGAGGTAGTAAAGGAAGAATGCGTACATAATCAGGAAGTCAAAATGCATAATAAAGAAAAGCAGCAACTGATACTATTGGCGAGACAGGGCAAGCAGATATTTCCATGCGAGGACTTCCAAGTGAAAGGTTTTTCTGATGGATCCTACAAGAGAGAAGCTCTATCTTGAAGTTTGTAGACCGTTGGATCATGAATGTGAAACAGATATATGTAGGTCAGTTTAAAACTATGGGTAGACTCGGTCAAATTCATTCCCCACTCCAAACAAGTCTCAAGGACCCGTAAGAGGTATTGATGCTTGCCATCTCGCGTACGCTAATTGTACGCATTTTATGAGTAGAGAAGTGGCGATGAAACCCACGGAATCAATGGCATTCACAGTTGAAGAGAATGACGAAACGATGTCATGCACCAAAATCTCAAGCAGAGGAGACTCAAAAGTGTCCCCTTTCAACGAATCATCAATCCTGTCAAGATATTTCTATCCGAAATAATATCATCACCATCATCATAATGTTCATCCTCAAAGGGGGAGATAGGTTAGAGAAACATATATGGGAAGGGAGGAGAAGGATTTTCCCTATGCATCAAGCTTCACGGGACACAAAGGGGAACCCCACAGGAAAACGGGAATCAGTATCCTCTTTTGGGGGTCCCAAGTTTCTCCAATATAGAAGCAACACACACGAAGCTAACGGAGAAAAAGCAGGGAAATTTGGGGAGAACTTCATGCAGTAGCGGAGGAAAAGGGTGACTATATGACCTTCAGGTAGGGCCGACTTAACCCTGAAACCTACCAGAATTCCGATGGTGATATGTTTACCTCTTTTTGTTTCCTCTTTTCATTCCCAAGGAAATTCTACAAAATACTCTGCCTAACTACGATCACGTGGAGTAAAAGGCTTTACAAGTCTACAGCGCAGCCTTCACAAATGGGTACATTTTTTCATCAGGGTCCATTAAACCAAAAATGGCAATTACAGAGTTAAGAAGCGCGGATGAGACTCAAGCAGCTTACGTCTGTAGCAAACAGACCCTTTCTTAGAGTTCTTGACTTTTCCAAAAAATTTATAAGTAAGTACGTGTCATCTTTTTCCCCCATGCTTTCAATCGCATAAAAGGGCACAGCTGAGCCTTCATCAGGCTTCCAGAAATATCCTTCAGGAATATCATGATGTGGGGGAATATCTCTATTGGCCTACGGTGTGGGGAGGGCATTTTCAAGAGCAACTCGTTCACTCAGACTAGGAACGCGTTATGCCACCTTGCCACATATGCCACCTTGCTAATACCATGCGGCCCCGCTGTCGAGCAACTCAAAAAAAGCAGGCTGAGGTGAAAAAAGGATGTCACTCCGAGCTCCAGAAATAGGTCATATGATGCTCTACAAGACTGAGTCAGACGATTCTCCATAGCTATGATGAGAGCAACTAAATAGCATAAAAGCATGCTCCTTTGATACCAGCGCCTTGTCTGGACCAAATTTTCCACATTGCCTCAGGCGTAGGTGGTCATTAGGATTGATCTCCTTCTCTCCTTCAGGAAATACTACCTTAATTTGTTATGCTATTACATACGGGTTGATCCAGACAAAGTTCCCCTGTGGATCCTCCAAAAGCGAGTCCCCCCATCCTCTACCATTCTTTTTCTATGGGGGCAAGCATCACATCACTGGCTGAGGAGCATACAAAGATAATACAAAAAATTTAAAGATGCGATCGTCAGTGAGAACTTGGCTGAGTATGATTGGTTACCAGTAAGAGAAGGGATTCCCAAAAAATTTGGAGGGCCACTTTTGAATGAAGGCGTGTGAGGAGTACAGGGCGTAGGCGGCACGCTTTCATCTATGGGAAAAAAAACCCGAATCAACAACATGTATGACTCCTGTCTCTGTCATCAAGAACTGAAAGACATTACATCAGCATGCATTCAATGTCATATATAAAAAAAACAATAGAAATCAGGGTAAAACAACAATATATCTGCCCTTATCACTATTCACAAGAGAGGGGTAGAAGACAGCAGATCAGAAGAAAGTGATGGAGAAAACAAGAATCATCACGAAACTGTGGAAGTTTCACAACTCTAGTACCAAGAAATTTATTCCTGGCCAGTGAAATGTATCGTCTACACATTTAGACGACGGTTCTCTAGAGGCGGGTTTTGCAGACAGGTGTACTCTACCAGTTGAAACTCCCAAGGGAAGAGAAAAGAAAATCCTTAAGCAACTTGTCACCGCAAAAATAAGAAGTAACTCCACTTTCTTCTTCAGAACAGAAAGCATACGTTCTATAGCAATACCTACATGGGAGAAATCGACCAGTCTATAAGCCAAATACACCCAACTGATGAAGGCGTTCACCGAAAGTCGACAAAGCTTCGAGTACCAGCTTCAAGCACAAGGGAGGAAATATGAGAATCTTCTCGAGCGGACTTCACAACACAAGTTAATCTCCCGGAATCCTCATCTTTCTATAACCAGAGTGAGAAATAGAGGAAGCAGAATATTAGGCGTGGAAATCTCCATGCCATGCTGGAAGAAGGAAATGTAGCAGCTCCATGTTCAGTGGCGTAAGAATCAGGAATTCTTCAATCCCAGAGGAAGGGGGCGTTCTTCCTTCAAATCAAACATCGCAAGGATTTTGAAAAATCGAAGACTCCAGTGGCATTAACTTCTCTTATCCGTCGGAGAGTGAGCAGAATTTTGCTCCTTTCTATTATCATTATGGACAACAGAAAAAACATATTGAAAGGAAAAACAGAGTATGAAGATAATTTGCCTTCATGAAACGTAAATCTACATACACACAAATAATTCTCTCGTGAGCAAACCGCTCTGAGACAGCTTCAGTTCATGGAAATTTAGCCTCATATACCGCTTTCTGCATAAAGCTTTTGAATAATTTTATACACGTATTATGCTGCACTTCTCTCAGAATATAACGGAGACAACAGGTCTTTTTGGTCCTATTCAGCCCCCCTCTGGTTCCTACGCCATTGTCAGCTCTTGGACGTTGCGATCCATCGTGTCCCATTCAAGCAGTGATATTTCGTGCTGCCTCAAAGATCCCTTCACCATTCCGCCACCAGAGATGAAGAACGTTACTTTAGAGAGTACCGAACTCACTCTTGCTCAGCTCGTCTCCTTCCTGCTGTGGAACGGCCGAGTAGGGACCATTCAACATGGGCTTTACCTTATACCAGTTCCACTTTTTAGGTTTTCTTTCTTCTTTCTCATCCTCCATGATGTCGCCCAGTGAGTTTCCCCCACTGCCTCCAGAGAGAGAGACTGGGGTCAGACTCTGACTCTGACTCTGACTTTGACCCTGACCTTGATCTGCAACCGTCAGGGACATTTCATCCATTGACCTCGCACCTCCACTCCAAGTAGTGGAGCGAGGCACGGATGGAACTTTCTTCCCTAACTTGAAGGCTGCTGACATTGCTGTCTTCAAACCTGATGGACGACACAAAATCCAGCCAATCCCTGGATTCAGTCCTTACTCGCATATCAGACTTTATCCAAAATTCACTGCAATGGATCAAGCTCAAACCAGAGAGAAACTCTGCAGTTCGACCTAAGGTCACCATAGGGAGACTCACAATTTGCATCTTCTTTGGACACATCCAATCTCATGAGTAAAAGAATGTCGATGTCGGACAGGCATTCATTATAATGAAACATAAATCTCAGTAAGATAATGTGCTCCACAATAAAGTAGTCAGAAAATAAATTGTTAGGACCAATGCAAGGTGTGAGAAACGGTCAAGCAAATGCGAACTGAAACAACTACGAATCGTATTATTTCGGAATGCTTGTCCTTTGGGGAAGAACACAAGCGATGAACGTACTCTTGCTGGAGGAATAAGAGCGACCGATTTCAGCAAGGGAACGGATAATTGGGAGACGGCTGACGTTACTCGACGAGTTGTCCTTCCTCCTCTCGTGCTGATGACGATGCCTTCTAAGCAGCGCATCCTTCACCTGGATTCCCCAAGAAACCCAAGTGTGTACAGTTTAAGCCCTCAAGGTCATGGTTACTTCTCTCCTAGGCAATCCATGCTCATACCTTCTCATTCAGGTCGAACTGTAGGACATTTGTATTGATCCAGTTCTCAATGGTCAAATCTGCCACCTGCTCCATTGTTTGAGCTTCCATGTCCAGCAGCACAATTCCACTCATGATGAAGCTTCTCAACTCGAAAAGGGAATGGAGTGAAAGAGTAGCCACATGAGGCTTCGACCATCTGTTCCCGCCTTCTTCCACGTCTTCCTCAAACTTCACCCACCTAAAAATAAAAATCGTGCATCTCGATAAAGCCTATGTAAGCAAGTTTTTCTCGTTATTTCTGAAGAAGATTGCTTTTCAGAAACTGCAAGACTCGAAAAATTTTCTTTTTCGACAAGCAGGGTAGAAATATCAGGATACCTGGCAGTTTCTCGCCATTCCATTTCTCCCCCTTCTTGGATGAGCTCTTCCATCTCAGAAAACAAGGGATGAGACTCGTGCATGTCGTCTTCATCCTCACCCAAAATGAACTGGACTCGTTGAGATGGCGGTGTGCCTGTGGGTAGAAATGGATAATAATTGCATTTAAAAGTATTGTATAAAGTTAACGGGCAATAACAAATTGCGATTGCTTAAAATTTTGTAAGCAAATTTTGATACAAAATACCTTATAAATTATACATTAATTTTCAACACAGCCAGTGTCTTGCGGTTTTTTTTTTTGACAAATCGATTGTAAAAGGTCAAAGGTCAACATTTCAAATCCCAGCTAGCTAAAACAATGCGCTTACAAACTATATATGAGCGTGTGGCAGATATCTCAGGAGTGAGAAACCGTTGAAGTCGTCTCAATGGTGAGTAGAAGTCTTGCCTCCTGTTACCATGTGCTAAGTGGGTGGCCTAGCGAAACGAGTGAATAAGTTCTTTTCCCTGTCTTTGCTCGGGTCTCCCGGCCCCAATGATAGCAAATTACAGCTGCTTCACATTTCATCTTTATTTTCCTAAGTCTTGTACAAGACTCAGGAGAAAATTAATAGAGTGAGCTACAAGTATCACCTCTTGCCCGTTATGACATGAGAAGACAAATTTTTACGCTCTTTCTAGGGTAAATTTCCTAGCTTCAGAATGACTCAGCACCTCCTCCATGGCTGAATGGACACTTGAAATAGAAAGTTCTATCCTCGATGGCAAGAGCATCTGGAGATATACCTGATACATTGGAATACAGCATGACGCCAGCAGGAAATAATCCTTCTCCTGTCTTAATATTGAAGTGTTGAAGTGCAGTTGACTCGTGTTCCTGTTCCTGTTCCCATTTGATTGAATGACTCAAATCATATTCTTCTGGCAAGCTTTTGAACAAGGAAAGCGAATATGAGTGTAAATAAAGATGTGTTTCAAGCGAGTTGGTGGGTTGCGGTTGTTGGGCGCTATGAATCCAAACATGGGAGACATTTTATCGCCTCAAAATATGCATGAAATTCTCCTACATGAATCGAAAAAATGTGTCCTGACCAAAAATAAATAAAAGAGACACATTTACGAAACCATGAGAGGTGGAAACGGTTGAATGTCCCTCTTCCCTGTATGAGCCACGCTACTTTGTTTACCCTCCTTGCTCTTCAGCGAATCCCGACGAGGCAGGCGATCCACTCATTTGCATACTGTATTCGTTCAGCACAGGTGCCATAAGAAATCGCTACTATAAATATTATCTCGAAGAAGCTCAGAAAAATACATATATTTTATTGCTTCTAATCTTCAATCGCATTCTTGTACCTTTTAAACCGTTTTAAATTTCATCAGCATGTCTTAGCAAACGATGAAAGTAGTATCGCTCGCGATATAGGTGTTAATGCAGCTGGTGTTCTCTCTTTCCATTTGATTTGAAAATTTAAATTTTCCAGCTCCAATTGTGAGAGCTGCCCGGAAAAAGTGACATAACAATATCAGGAGGCTAATGCTTCCAAAAACATGTGTTCTACGATATCGAGGTAGTTGTGCATGGAGAGGACCTAGCGTTTTATTTAGGGGTGGTGCATATTCTACGGAACGACGAATATGCATAATCCAGGGCATGAGTCGATACTATAGAGTGAATAGCCTTGAGTCGATACTATACTGTACACTGTGTACTGTATAGTGAATAACCTATGTTAAGCTAGCGAGGACCTATGGCGAATGAGGATTTATTTATGTACTCTCTCTAAAACTTTTGAACCGTGAAAGCAGGTCATTCATGTGAACGAGGATGACGAAGCTTTCGCAATTGATCATTGATGTGGAGAAAATACCTGAATGACATCAGGGCTAAAAAATTTATACAGATTGCAGCAGAACAAGGTGTCTGAAAATTGCCCCGAGTACAGGCCATGTGCAAAACCACTAAGAAAACACATTGATATTCACGTTTTGGCATGCTGGTGGTCACTGAAGTTATTCGCAGGCACCATATGTTACCTGCCTTTTACATACGTAACATGAAAGAATGAACCGTATGCATCAGGGATATAACATTCGGACACCCTGAATATTATTTTCTTCATTTAGATTGTTGTCGTGACAGTTATTGATTCAAGGTCACACTAACACAGTCGGAAGGAGACATTAAAGCTAGAGCTGCCAAGAATTTGAAAATTGAAATGAGCGTTTAGTTGCGCTTCAAGATGTAGGCATTAAAAGTGCAGGAAAGAAACTGAGCATGGGCCTAACATGCCACGCGAGGCAGTACAGTAAAGCACTTCCTGGGCCAATGGATTTGACTCAATACAACCCGATTCACAGTCTCTTCCAGTCGTAAAGTCTCAGATGCTAGTAGGAAATAGGTTGTTAAAAAATTGAGTGCAATTAAGCAGCCACGTTTCTTGCACGACTACGATAGGAAGTCAGTAAGAACTAGTGGGCAGAATTTTAAAAAGTCGACTTATGCATTACTAAATTCCCTCCCCTTACTGACGTGCACCGCAGGGTGTAATAGCTACAGCAACAAAACTTAATAAAGGACCAAAATGAATAGTGCTGTATATTTACTCCATGAAGCCTATGGAGCAGCTCCTCAGAAAATGGTTCCAGGAATAATCCCCTGAATTTCGAGCAATGGTTGAATAAGGTCGCACTGCAACTCTGTTCGTTTCCGTCCCATAACAAGTCCGCGGGGCCTTATCCCTTAATCGTCTCTTATTAAGTAATCTCTCGAGGATCATGAAGCTCTGGAACTACTCTCTCAACAACTTTCTGGTCCACTTCATGAATAAGGTCTCATTGCACCATTTACTCGCATTTGTTCCATCAACGACTTTAGTTTTGTTATTTTGTCAGCTAAAGCATTGTAAATTGCATTTGGGAACAGAGAAAACGGGTAAATAATAAATGTTTAAAGGCAATTAAGTAGAAGCAGTTTTTGGACACAACGTATATACCGTAACTTTCCATCAATTCAGGAAGGAAGAGCTGGTAATAATTCGTAATTGTAAAAGTAAGTGAAACAAATTTATTTTACTTTACTGTCTCAACCGTATAATAATTTGTCATCATAATGAGTAACATTACAGCGTGATACGTAATATTATTTATTTGTAATATTACATAAACGTAATATTATATAAACGGCTTAATTTCCCCAAAACTACTAGGTGGGAAGTGCAACGACTGTAAGGTGGCCAATACCCAAGAAAACCTCGAACGACTCGCAATCCACCAACCTGGTCGCTCGTCCTCTTTCTCCTTTTGGGAGTCTGATGAATGTTTGTGATGATGGCGATGCCTTCGGTGAGATCGGCGACTCCGATGCCCGCCATTTCCAGGCACGTGGACACCCACGTAAACAGTATGGGCTCTGTGACCTGCAGACGCAACAAAAACAGGTGAAAACAAAAAAAATGGTCTGGATAGACAGACGTGACCCCTTATGATACTTGGGGAAGACACCACAGTAAATCCAGACATGGACTGCCCCGATCAGGGGTCAAGAAATTCCCTGTTGCCAACCGAGGCTACCACATTGTTATTATCTTGGTACCAGATCAAAGTACGTCTCGCGTAACACGATGCTATTCTTTAGGAAAGTCTCATTGGCTACAAAGTATCCCAGAAGGCGAGTGGCAAGGAGTAGAAGATAGACTAACGTTAGGTACGGGACGGGCAAAGTGGATTCTAACCGCTCACTTCTCACAAAGGATGCTCTATAAAGGAACTTGAAACTCTTCCATCAACAAGGCGAACCATTCTCAGATGAAAAAGACTCCTACCAGGTCTTTTGCAGGCTCCTTGCTGGTCTAAAATTATTTCTCAGCGCTATCGTGCTCGAAAATCAGTATGATTAATGAGCAATGACGTAATGAAGAGCTGTTCCTATACGCTCCCAAAAAACCACGTTCCATATTGCCTAGCCATCCAACAACGCCTTTTTAAATCTCGTAGTGATAATGCCTAGTTTCGATTAGCGAATTATTATTTGTCTCTATATTCGGTCTCTTCTGCTAAAGGGAATAGGGTTTCTAATGGTTCCTATCGACGAAAATCCCAATGGCCATGATACGTCCTTGCCACGAACTTGAGAAAATGAAAAACAGAACCCGAGCCTCGATTACGTCATACATCGTGCCCAAAGAGGGAGATATACAGAAAATAGAGACAGACCTTGATAATCCTTTTCTCCATAAAATGGGTGGACGTTCTCGGAAGCACCAGGATCCCTTGCGGCCTCTTCGGCCACGGAACGGGCCGGATCCATCACCCACGGTCTGGAAAAGGGAAAACATCGGAAAATTTGAGAGAGATATATCGAGAAAATTCCATTCCACTGCCCCGACCCAAATCGTTCATTTCTCCTCTTGCATAACGCCGGTAAAGCCAGATATAGTCATCAAACGATCGACCTTGGAACAATCCGTCCGTTTCTGAATAAGAATACGACCGATGCGGCATACAAGTTCATTACGCGGTCATTAGTAGGTGGGCTGGTATAACACGTGCTTTTCAGGGTCGATGTCTTTCATCATCACTCCTGAATACTCCTGGATCCTCATTATCCCTCCATTTCTTTCGACTGATGTTTTGGTGTTTGGTATTAGCCTTAATGGCTACCCTATACCCGACTGACGAACCACAAGGAGGCAGAAACGATGGGCTTCTCGCTTCGTTCCACGTATCTAATGAAATCCTATAAAATGTTTATTTAATGTCTCGTAGAATCTAGAGGGGGCAATATTGATGAAAAGAAACAAAAAAAGTATGCGGAAAATATAATCCCAGAAATCACAATGATACAGCAATAGGTGAAATTACATGGAATAAATTCTTGGGTTTTTCCCCCAGGAAATACCCAGTTAAACTGAAATGAGTCATGACTATTTGAAATTCATGAAGCGTCTTCTCTCTCTTGTCTCGTCCGACAGAAAGTCGCACTTGATCTTAAGGGGACATAATACGTAGAATCTATAACAGGGGTCAATGGATATCATGCTAACAAGGATATCAGGCATGAGGGTCGGATTTAAAAACATGTTTCGAAGAGTTGATAGGAAGGCACGAGAAAAAAAAATTGGTTGTAAAACTTGGCTTCATTGGAAGAATGCAATTAGCATTCTTCCTTTTACACATGGATGGTTGAATTGTGAGTTATCTGGCATTCAGACGTTATCTGACCTTCGCACATGTTCGTATACACTCCATGATTTCCCAGAGCAGCAAACACAAAAAGGACATGTAAACCATCTCGACATTGAAATACACGAGAAGAAATGTGATACACATGAGATATACGCACCGCTCATGCAATAAAAAAACTATCCAGATGCGACATCACCCTTATCTGATGCAGGAAAGACCTAGGGCAGCATTTTCTTAAATGAAAACAATCACTTTTTGTAACCTGACTTAAGTAAATGCTAACTTAATTCTGTGTGCTTGTAGGACCACGACACCGTAGGAACCACGCGAAGAGAAACAAAAATGAGAAATACGAGTAATTAGATCGATAGGAATACAACAAATAAAGATATTGCTCTGCAAACATTGGCATGGGAGCATAGGATCTTATCAGAGATGGAGTGGCCGATACCTGTGGACGGATGCGTCTATGAGGGGTTGCGACTCGGAGTAGACACCCATACTCTTGTTCAAAACACAATCTGAGAAAGATTGACAGGAGCACACTTACAACGAGAAGGAGTGAGAAGAGAGAGAAGACGAGGGAGGGAATACTGGATGGGGGAGAGTCCCTTCTCTCATCTCTCCTCCATCATCTTATTCTTGATCATGAACGAAACAAGGACAGAGGGGAGGCGCAGAATCGAACAACCCCTTTACCACACGTCGCATTTGAACTTCCTTTCTTACGACTGCCACTCGTCCTCTCCTTTTCATAAATATATATGTGTGAAGCATGTTTGCGCCATGTTCCCTAGTTAAGATCGGCTGTCTTCGACGGAAAGCTCCACCCTTTCATCTAAATTTTTATTTATTGGAGGGTTGGGGTGACGAGGCATTTACCCATCCTGACTTTTTATTAATTCTATAAAATTTCATGGAGCACTGATTGGCTTCACGTATGACGAAGTGGGGCGAAACATTTGGTCCCCTGACACGGTATAACAAATCCTATGTCCTCCCAGGACCAACTCTTCCAAATCTTTTTTCCCCTCGGATGGAATATATGACAAATATTATCCCCCTCTTTTGATATCAAATATTCCACTCGCAAACGCTTTAAAACTCACCTTAAGGACGACGGTTAACGCTATGTATTTCTTAAATTCCTCTATGCATTTCTGCTTCTTCGCTCCAGGGTACAATTTCTTAACATGTACAATAAGACCCAGAGCATTTATTTCGCTTTTCCTATTTATATTCCGATCGTCAGATTTGTCTAAAAAAAAAAGGAGGCATTGGCAGTACGAAAGTCTCACTTTAATATTTTTGATAGTCAATTGGATATTCATCGCTTCTTTAAAAATGCAAAAATTACATCGAAAGGGTTGTGTGCTCCACCATCATATCACTTCGCATTCAGCTAAGCAACTGAACCCGCCTCCATACCTCAAAGAAGCAAGGAAAAGAAAGGTATCTCCTAATCCACCAACTAATTTAGCACTTTACGCTTTAAAAGGAAAGTGGGGTCTTTTCTCTCCAAGAGTGAACCGCTTAGGATGAAATACATTGATCAAAGGGAACATTTGAAATATTATGCCCTCTCAGATCGTTCTTTGTAAGATTTGATCCTCCCGGACTAAATGCAATGGAACTATAATGTCGGTCGACGGCGTATGACACACAAGCACAAATACGGATTGTACAGAAGATGGGCAGATTGCCTCATTTGTTAAACTTCATCATTCTACAGTAGTGGTCAAATAGTCAGTTGGAGACTCCGAAACGCTGACTATTTGCCCTATGTTCGTCCCAATATTTTTTAAAATTGCTTTAATAAGTGTGATTTCAAGTATTCAATCGAAAACTGCGTGATAATTGAAGAGTAAATTTTTGAAAATTCTATTGCTGATGTGCAAAAAGTTTAAACGATGTAATGACAATTTTACGCGGAAAATGTTTTGCCAATTTCTAGGGCTGTCACGATAGCAGTTTTAAAAACATCGATGCATCGACCGAAACTATCGATAGTATATCGATGCATCAGGGGGAGGGGGGGGGGGGGGGGGGGCCCCGGGANTGTATCGATGCATCAGAGAGGGGGAGGGGCGCCGGAGGATTCCACCTTTTCTCGCCGCGATCGGAGCGCGGACCTCTATCTGGCTTCCATAATCTCACGCTTGTGATCGGGAGTGCAAGGGAAATATGTGACCTTCGCGAAGAGTAATGAAACCTACCATGCCTCCAACTATCGAATATGACATCCGTTCATCGACCAAGCCCCGTTCGCGTAAATTTTTTTCTCTTTTTCTTCGTTCTTTATTGTCTTTGGACATCGGCACCGGCAGATAGGAGACCTGCTGATGGTGCCATACCGGCGGTTGCCGAAACATCGGTACAGCCCTAGAATAAGTAACGTCCATGTAAAATATTCACTTTGAGTTCACCTTAGGTAGAGATAAAACGCCCTAAGGCAAGTTAAAAATTAAGAAAATTAAGCCTGCATACTAACGTGATAGACAGGAATATAGAGAGGATTAACCAATGTGCGTTTCGAAATCAAGGGAATATAAGAACAGTCCACTTCCGCAGCAAGCACCTGATGAGATCGAGCCGAAGACAGAAACAGAAGATAAAAATATTTTCTCGGTCTTCCCCTCTCTCCTTTCCCACTTCCTGTCTCCGATCCGACTTTTCTTTCCCTTCCCGTCTTTCATAAAGTCAGTCCCAGCATTTCAAGAATTCGATTGCGATAAGAAATTGGAAGCCCATGCGGGTCACGCCGCTTCTTCCTTTCTTCGCCCGGACGGACAGTATTGTACTGTACTCGCTTCAATCCAATGGGACATTTCCCCTTTAAAATATTTTGCCGATGCATAGCGATGGTCGAAAAAACTATCGATATCTCTAACTATCGATAGTGGTATCGATCTATCGTGACAGTCCTAATAAATATCGATCACTGCGACTGAAATTCCGTCTATGTTGTACATGTAGTAGTGTGAAAACTAATTTTCCATGACTTTCCCATTCTTCAACTCCTCCCCGCCTCTCTACGGGACTCAATAACGTTAGCCCTAGGACTAACCAACAGACTGCCTTCAGGTTACGCCAATGCCTACCTTTTTCTTTGGAAAAAAGCTAAATTCTCGACTTATGGCGCCTATTATCAGAGGCCTATGAGGATGAACCGTGGTCTTCGAGACGTCTGGTTGAGGACGTGTAACGTTAGGCCAATCGCAGGCTTATTCACACTATCACGAACCATTTCACAGAGAACGTGTAACGTTAGACCAATTGTAGGCTTGTTTCGCGTTTCATGAACCTATCTGGAGTTCCTCGAACCATCTCGAATAGGTCTGAGGGGTGAATGCCTTCAAGAAGCATGCAATCCATGGTACACTTTATTCGGATTGAATTGCAATCCCCTTTGTGGAGAAAATACAAGCTTTCCAGACAATCCTTTAGATGTCAAGCCTGCTGTTCCGGAAGGTTGTTGGATGGCTCTATAAATACTTCACCTTCCATCCGCCAGTACTTGATGGAAGCGTTCTATGGGGGGGGGGGGGGGATCAATTCAATCCGAAAACAGTGTATGCGTCATCCTGTTAATTCAGGGACGTCCGGATAAGATATCTACATATCCCACCACATTGATTAATAGCTGCTAACCACCGCTTCATTCTTAGTTCAACTTATAAACTCGGTACAAAGTGTCTATACAAAAGTGCCCATACAAAAAGAAAAAGATCCAGACGCCAATACGAAGGTTAAAACAGTCTTGAACCTG